TACGATGATACCAAAAATAATAATAATAATAGTAATAAATGTACGAAGTAGCAGTTTAAGTTGACGCACGGGGAGGGGGAGGGCTATTGCCATGAATCATTTTGCCTCGTAACATACCGTGTGTATACCTGTCATCATTGGAGTGCGTGGGTGGCAGCACTGTCTGGAACAGTTCATGTACTAAGGAAGGTTTTGTGTCTCTAAGCTGCGGGTAAGAACTGAGACATGGACGTCATCATCCCGGCTGTAATATCTAAGTTTGGGAGAGGTTTTCAATAATAATAATCATAATATTAATGAGTGAGTAACATTCCTGGACATATCGGCACCTCAGAGCTACAAAAGATTACTTTGTGCGAAACTGCCCATTTCATCCGCAAAACCCTCTCCATCTAAGCGAGACGTCCCAACTGTGCATAGATAATTCTCCTACAGGGTCCTTTTTACTCGTAGACCCAAAAGGGCACTTGGTAATTAGCCACTTAAAATTACTCTCTGGTAAGATGATACCACAAATAATAATAATAATAATAATAATAATAATAATAACAGTAATAAATGTACGAAGCAGCAGTTTAAGTTGACGTACGAGGAGGGGGACGGCTATTGCCATGAATCTTTCTGTCTCGTAACACACATTGTGTATACCTGGCATCATTGGGATGGCGCAAATGGCAGCACTGTCTGGAACAGCTCATGTTCTAAGGAAAGGTTTGATGTCTCTAAGCTGTGGGTAAGAACTGAGACATGATCTAAGCGACACTTCCCAAATGTGCATAGATAACTCTCCTACAGTGCCTTTTTTACTGATAGGCGCTGTAAGGCACTTGGTAATTAACCACTTAAAATTACTCCCTGGAGAGATGATACTACCAGTATTACTACTACCAGTAAGGATCGAACTCACTACTCAGTCGTAATTGTTCTAGCGAGACAAACTTGCTGTTACGCCGCTTCGAGGTGACCCTACCTTTTATTGTCATAGTGATTTTCTAAGCGTAGCTTAGATGTGGCACAAGCCAGAAAATATAGGGTACCCAGTGAGGATCGAACTCACTACTCAGTCGTAATTGTTCTAGCGAGACAAACTTGCTAACTATTACACCGCTTCGAGATGACCCTACATTTCATTGTCATAGTGATTTTCTAAGCGTAGCTTAGACGTGGCACAAGGCAGAAAGTATAGGGTACCCAATGAGGATTGAAGATTGAACTCAGTCGTAATTGTTCTAGCGAAGCAGGCTTCCTGGCCATCACACGACATCGAGGGGACCCTGCTTCTTATTATGCATGTTTTCGTTTTCTCACTAACACCAAACAGCGTCTCTGATACAACATTTTCTTCCGTCTTTCGTCGCAGCCAATACGGAATGGGACATTATTTATTTGAGGTAATGGCAGGCCATAAGTAACAGATGAACATGAAGAAATTACAATATGATAATAGCTGATTCATGGTCATTAAATGCGTATAGAAATCAAATGTTAGTGTAAAAGTCTATGTAAAAAGCTGTAATATTTATATATACGCTTATATAACAACGTCGACGACGACTCTGTTTATCATCACGACAGTTTTGGATGGTTTATTGTCATCTGTTTGAACTGATTAAAAGTCATTTGCAGATTCTATCATGTTTAAGGATGGTTCGTTTGACGTTTTAGGGCGATGGATTTCTTTTTGATTTAATCAGTGTTTTTATGTATTTTCTTTTTGTTTAATTTGTTTGCCGTGTGTATGTGTGTGTCAGAAAAAGAAAGAAAGAAAGAAAGAAAGAAAGAAAGAAAGAAAGAAAGAAAGATTGATTCTGTGAATTTCTTTGGCATGTTGTTGGATTTTGGTAAGAAGATAGTAATGCCTTTGATGTTACCGCTTTGTACCTGTTCGGGCGTTGCAACATAATTTTTCTCATTCTGGAGCCATACATCACAGCACTTGCTGACACTTTTATCTCCTTGTCGACTGAAAGTATCTTCATCTATATACCATGTGCCTTCAGGACATGGGCGATCATGACCCTCCACAACTTTCTCTCTACTGTAGCTCTTAGCAATGTTTGTCTTGTTAATATCCTTCTAACCCTCTGTTCTGCCATCCATTTACACAAGCTCGTTAGGTACGTTGCTTTCCGTTTCCTTCTACCTTCGACATGACTTGTGTGCGTCAAATTCTCCAAGCTCTCTTTCCTCGTTATATTTTCTCCGCACCCTCGGGCAGACTTGTGGGAAAACTATGAATTCAAACAAGATTTGAGAGAGTTCAAGTGAGGCTATTTTGTCCAAGGCACACCCATCTGCTACAGTTGCAGAACATATGGTACCCCTACAATCATGAGGAGTTACAGAACTCATGATACTGATCGTATTATACATTTAATAAATCAATAAATCCGACTGACATCTTAACTGACCGACTCCAGAGTCTCGCGTCAAAATGCTTTTCAAGGCCAGATTCACGATAAATCTATTGAAATTATTATCAATTTATTATTACGTTTATACCACTTGAAACAAACGCCAATCATAAATTACTGACTTGACATTCTTACCAGGTTACAGTTTTGTATAAAACGGGACAAATTTTAAGTTTCGAACCAGTTAAGATGTATTTAAGGTGTATCTTTTTTATCGCTTTATTTAAAATGAGAAACAAAGAAAATGGTGCTGAACTATTCCTCCTATATGGCAGTGAATGCTGGACAATCTCCCCACAGACGAAGAAAAGTCTCGAAGCAAACGAAATGTTCTACAGATGCTGGGAATAAAATGGACTGAGTGACAAAGTTTTAGAAGAAATGAAACCAAAAAAGATACTTATACTGAAGATCAGGAACAGACAGTTGAAATTTCTAGATCCCATAATGAGGAAAGAGGGCTTGGAAAATCTGACACTCACAGGGCATATTAAAAGCAAGCGGGACAGAGGAAAACATTGTGTAACCTACCTAGCATGCTTCAGTAAATGAATGGCGGGGCAATGTTTAGGAGAGATAACTAAAAGACAAAATTTATTAAGAGCTTGCAAAGGACAAGACATTGTGGAGAGCCATGATCACCAACGTCCTGAAGGGACACTTCACATAGAATAATAAAAGAATATGCATATATACTTATTAACTTGCCCCTATATTTATATATGTATATATGTGTTTTGTTATTAATTTCATTATTATTACAAATTTCCCAACGATCATTGTTATGATGTTGATTTGGGGTTAGTAGAGAGAAACGCCAAATAACACGTAACAATAAAAAGGGTTTTAATAGGTTGGTAAAAAGATACAGAAATCGCCTGAGTAGTCAATAACTAGCTCAGCTAAGAACTTCTCTGTCTATCTATCTTCCCCATGTCAACTGACATGCCACTATTTAAAGTCTTTGTTTACAGACGCAGACAAGTTCATCTTCAAGAGGGGTGGTAGGTT